CGCGAAGCGTCTAGAATTGTCAGCAGCAGTAGCAGCAGCAGAGCCAACATCATCATCACCACAACCATCACCATCATCATCACCGCAATCGTCATCAGCACCATCATCACCACCCCCAATCATCATCACCATCATCATCAGCAGCACCAGCGTAAGCATCAGCATCATCGCAACCACCATGATCATCACCATAAGGATTCTAATGAAAATCCTCATCCTCGACATCCTCATCAGCATCATCAGCAGCAGCATCATCAGCAGCAGCATCATCCGCATCATCATCATCGTCGTCGTCATCATGATCAGGATCATGATCACGATGATGATGCTGATGATGATCATCATCATCATCATCACCATCATCAATAGCAACATCATCGTTCTAATCACTGGTCCCACAAACCCCGCCTCGATCCTCTCTGTCAGCCCTACCCGTGTCCCCCCACATAGCATCCTCCCTCCTCCTTATCATCATCAGGAGCATCATCATCACCAGCACCAACAACATCATCAGCATGGCAATTATCATCATCAGCAGCAGCACCATCACCATCACCACAACCACCCTCACCACCACCATCACAATCGTCATCATACTCATCGTCATCAGCATCATCGTCATCGTCACCACCATCCCATCTGCATCATCATCAGCAGCATGGATATCGTCATTATCAAAATCGTCAATATCGTCATCATCATCATCATCAGCAGCATCACAATCTTCATCACCATGACCACAATCACAATCATCAAGATTATCATGACAATGATCACGATCATGATCATGATCAGGAACATGATCATGATCAGGAACATGATCATGATCATGATCATGATCATCATCATCATCATCATCATCATCATCATCATCATCCTCGCCATCATCCGCATCATCGGCAGCATCATTCGAATCATCAGCATCAGCAGCAGCATCATCATCGTAATCATGATCGTGATCATGATCAGAATCATGATCATGATCATCATCGGCCCCACCAACCCTACCTCGATCCTCCATGCCCGCCCTGCCTGTGCCCCCCCTCCTCATCCTCCTCCTGCCCCTCGTCCTCCTCATCCTCCACCTCATCCTCGGCATCGTCACCACCACAAGCATCATAATCATCATCAGCATCATCATCAGCGTCAGCATCATCAAGGTCATCATCACAATCATCATAATCAACATCACCATCACAATCAGCATCATCAACATTGTCATCACCATCACCACCACCATTATCATCATCATCAGCATCATCATCGTCATCAGCAACATCACCAATAGCAACAACAACACCACCACCATCTTCATCCGCCTCTCACTCTCTTCTCTTTGACGATTCGGAATTGTCGGGCGGGGCCGCGGCCGGGCATGCGCTGCCGCTGCGGGGCTACCCCGTCGGAAACCAGCCGTGGCCACAACAACATGCCAACCCTACTTCCGTCCTTCAAAGGTCATGTTCGCGCCTCCCCTCCTCCCTCTCTTCAGCCCCATTATCCCTCCTGCTCATCATCCTCATCCGCCTCCTCCTCCTCCTGCTCCTCCTCCTCTCCTCTACCCTCCCCTCCCCCTTCTCCCCCGCCTCCTTCGCTCCCTCCTCCCTCCTACCGCCTCCCTCATCCCTCATCTCGCCTTCGTCTTCCTCAACGGCCTCACGGTAAACCCGCAGAGCCGAGCTCGCATGGGGCAGACTGTATTGTAAAATGGTCGCAGACGGCCTTGCAGCGGAGGCTGAACGAGGGAACGCACAATGACCACCAAAGACCTCCAGACGTCGTGGTGGAGAAGCAGACAGATAACCTAATGATTGCGGCGTGTTCCACCGTTGGGCCCCTGGAGCCCATTGTTCGATCCCACGGCCATCGGGACGACACGGGATGGAAACCTGGTGGGGGGGGCGGGGCACGTCGTGAAAGCAACACGACGTCAGAGGTCTAAGAGATGTGCGAAAAAGCAACACGGCCATCGCCAGCATCAGCAACGACATCATCCATCATCATACATTCCTCTCACTAGCATCATGAACAACATCGTCATCATCATCAACATCATCATCTGCATCAGCATCACAACCACCGTGATCAATCATCATCAGCACCACCAACATCGTCGACCCAATCATCATCAGCATCATCATCACCGCCAACAATACACCATCGTCGAAGTCAGCGTCGGTGTCATCATCGTCGTCAACACCAGCATCACCAGCATCATCGTCATCATCAACATCAAGATCATCATCATTATACTAATAATCATCCTCGTCATCATCATAATATTGATCGATATCATCATGATCATCAATGACATCATCGTCACCGTCACCATCATCACCAGCGACACAGTCGTCATCATCATCACCACCATCAGCATTAGCATCCTCATAATCATCATCATCATCGTCATTATCATCGTCATCGTCATCGTCAATATCACCAAGATCATCATCACCAACACCATCACCAACATCAGCATCACCGTCACGCGACTAATTGTGCTCATCCTGCTCCTCCGCATCGTCACCGTCAGCATCAGCATCGCCACCATCGTCATCAGCAGCACCGTCATCATCACCACCACCCTCACAATAATCAGCATCATCATTTTTGCAATCTTCAATATCGACATCATCATCGTCATCAGCCTCAGCATTAGCATCATCGTCATCATCAACATTACCATCAGCATCATCATGAGCATCCGCATCAGCATCAGCACCATCACCATGACCATCGCCATTGCTCACCAATGTCATCGTACTCGTCATCGTCGGCATCATCAGCATCCTCATCATCATCACCATCATCATCATCATCAGCATCACCGTCCTAATCATCATCACCATCACCACCATTAGAACTACTACGCGTGCAGCATCAGCATCAGCAACACCATCAACAACATCATCACCGTCACCATGACCATGGCCATGGCAATCGCAATCGCTCGTCATCGTCATAGTAAGCATCAGCGTAGTCGTCGTGATCACCAGCAGCAACAACGTCAGCAATGGATCAGCATTAGCGTCACCATGTCATCATCACCCGAATCAGCTTGCGACAATTCATATAATCATAAATGACCTCCTCCTCCCTCTCCTCCTCCTCCTCCTCATCATCATCATCACCATCGCCGTCATCGTCATCATTGTTAGCATCATCAGCATCCTCACACTCCCAATCATCATCATCATCAGCATCTTCATCACAATCAGCATTAACATCAGGATCACCATCATCATCACCATCATCATCAATGGCATCATCATCATCATCATCATCATCATCATCATCATCATCATCATCAACAGCCTCATTGTTGTCAGCATCAGCACCAGCATTAAGATCCCCATCGCAATCGCTCATGTTCGTCATCATAATCGTCATCGGCATCGTCATAATCGTATTCATCATGATCAACATTATCATCGACTTCTTCTTCGTCATCGAAACAACAACCTTATCATCACAACGAGCATCATCATTATCATTAGTATTGTTACCAGCAGCCATAGCAAGAGCATCGCATCATCATTGCATCCGCATTTCACCATCACCCCATTCGATCTGCAAGCACTCATAATAAGGATAACCAATATGCTCCTCCCCCTCATCCTCCTCGTCCTCCTCCACATCATCATTACCATCGTCAGCATCGTCATCATAGCCATCATCCTCATCATCATCACATTCGTTATCATCATCAGCCTCATCATCAGCATCAACAACAACATCAACAACATCATGACCATCACCGTGAACATCACCATGACCATCGCAATCGCTGGCCATCATCGGCATCGCCATCCGCTTCTTCACCATCACCATAATCATCACCGTCATCATCTTGATTTGCATCATCATCAGCATCATCATCACCATCACTATCACCATCATTATCACCCTCATCATCAACATCATCATACTCATCATCAACGCCATCATCATTATAGTCATCGTCATCGTAATAGTCAACCGCATCCCGAACAACCACACCCTGTCGCACCCCGAGGCTAGTTTTTAGGGCGGGCCGGGCGTTTCGCCTGAGACTTCCTCACCATTTATGACTCAAGAGCTTCACGGATTGAGGGCGGGTCGTTTGCAAAACGTGGCTCTCGATTTAGCGCGGCGCACATTCGCTCTAAAAAATTGCAGGAGCATCACGGACTGAGGGCAGGTCGTTTTCAAAATGTGGTTCTCGCCTCAGCGCGGCGCACTTTCGTTTCAAAACATTGCAAGAGTTTCACGGATTGAGGGCGTGTGGTTTTCAAAATTTTACTCTCGCCTTAGTGCGGCGCATCTTCGATAAAAGATGCAAGGGTTTCACGGATTGAGGGCGGGTGGTTTTCAAAATGTGGCTCTCGCCGTAGCGCGGCGCACATTCGGTCAAACAAGTTGCAAGAGCGTCACGGATTGAGGGCGGTTCCTTTCCAAAATGTGGCTCTCGCCTTAGCGCGGCACACATTCGTTTTAACATGTGAAAGATTCTCACGGATTCCCATAATCAAAATGTCAGGAATGGTGTTTTGAAAAGATTCTGGATTAGCGGGTGCAACAATTATGTTGATTCGCTGTGTTGAAGTCCCAGGAATGGTGTTCTGGCGCGATTCAGGATTGTCAAGACGCAACAGTCAGGTTGATCCGTGGCGTTGGAATCCCGAGAACAATGTTTTGGTATGCCTCAGGGTCTTCAAATGGTTGCCTTCCAAAGAGATAGTTCCTTCAATGGAACTAAACCGTTGTAGGGGCCTATGAAGAGGAAGCTTGGAGGGAGGGTTTATTCCAACATCGTTGATCACTCTTGGGCTTACACTGGTCCTCCTCCTCCCCCTCCTCCTCCTCCTCCTCCTCGTCCTCCTCCTCCTCCTCCTCCTCCTCCTCCTCCTCCTCCTCCTCCCCCTCCTCCTCCCCCTCATCCGCCCCCTCCCCCTCCTCGACGTCGCCCCGTCGCGGCGAGAGGCCGGTGCACCCTTCCTCAGGCCGGGGGCGCGGGGCGCTCAGACCGACACCGCCGCCCCCGAGGCCTTCCCCGCCCGCGCGGGCCCGGCCACCGCCTGCGAGGGCGAGGCCGGCACCGCGGGCCTGGCACGGAGGGGGGGCGGGCGGACGGGCGCCACCACAGCGAGGCTGTCCCGTCGGAGGGGAGGGGCGCGCAGCGCACGGAGCGCTCAGTAACGACGTGTGCACGAGTCCGGGTTCGTACACACGTCGCACGGAGCGCATCGGCGTCAATTCGTGCTCATGTGCACGAACCCGGCACGGGGGGGGGCGGGGCTGGAGGGGGGGGGGCGGCGGCCGCGGCGGCGGCGGCGGAGAGGGGAGGTGGGAGGGCGGGATGGTGGCGGCGACGGGGAGGGGGAGGAGCGGGGAAGGTGAGCGTTTTCTTGTTCGGACCTCTGCTTAATGCCACTGTTTCAACAATGCGTCCTATGGGGGGGGGGAGTCTCGACCTGCTGGAAACAGGCCTCAAAAACAGCCAAGATCTACTCCAAGGGGGCCGCGCCGATCGGCAAAACAAAACATACAAAAAACGCTCACAAGAGGGACGGGGAGGGGTACACTTCGGTCGGACAAAAACTATGTAAAACACATGCAAGTAGTAAGGCGAGTCAAGTAACTAGATTGGGATCAGGCCCTCCAAGATAATAACAAAACACAGCAAAGCATAGCGATTCTTGAAGTAGTAATGCGCTTGAAGTAAACAGTGAAATCCAACAATACCTACTTTCAACGACCGACGGGTAAAGCAGGGGGGAGGGGCAGGAGGGAAAGTCTGCATTCTTGCCGTTTCGGAGATCTCGCTACTGGCCGGGCTCACGGCCGCTGCAACCCTGCTTTCCGCGGTGCTCTGCGGGCTGAGTACGGTACGGGCGTGTCCGCCCTGCAGCCTGCGCAAGAAAAAACAGGAGGGAGGCGACGGGAGGGCTGACGACGGAGGGGGGTTGACGGAGGGTGGCGGGGGGCAAGAAAAAAAGGGTCTGGCTTGGCTTGGGCTGGCCAGGCGCTCCGGTGGGCTTACTCGGAATCCTCGTTGTCGGACCCCCTTCAAACTCAGAGGAACGACAGGGGCGATTGCAATCCGACCACCGTCATACTGCCTGCAGCGTCGGCGGGGTGCCCTGATCCTGGTCGGCTCGGGGCCCCCCGACCGCGCCCCTCCGAAGCAGCCACCGTGCCGCATTGAGCAGGGACCGACCGTCCAGGCATTCCTATAGGCCTACCACGAGATGTTCGTAGAACCCAGCAATGTTCTAAAACCAAAAGCGATGTTCTTGGAACGTAAGCCCGACGTGTTAAAACAAAATAATGTCAGCCATACATGTTCTGAGAACAATTCGTGGAAACCACAAAAGGTCCTTGGAACATTCTTTGGTGGGACTATGGGCGAGCCAAGACGCTTCGCCACTGCTCGACCGCAGCCGGGCCAACGCGTGGGGCCCGCCAGCCGCCTCCACCACGGTCGCATCGTCCGTGCACTCGCACGGCCCCAACACGAGCGGCGAACACTCGCCATCGCTTGGACGTCCATTCCCTGTGCATTTGTCGACTTCGTGCGTGCATTTTTTCGCGACGCGAACAAAAACGCTCCTCGATGGCCCTTGCCGGCAAAAAATGCGCACGTCCGGGTCATGCCAAGAACATGTCCGTATCGGCGCCTTCGCGGACTGGACTCTGGGGCACGACCCCGCGGATACGCGGTCGCACGGGCACGTTCCGTGCGGGGCATCCGCGGAAAGAAAAACGCCCCGTATCCGCAAGGTCGCGACCTAGGGGCCCGGCCCGTGAGGCCGCGGGTGCGGATATGCTGGCGCCGCGACAAAACACGACGGAACGTGTGAACCGTTTTCGGCGGCCTGTCGGGGTCCTCGCTGGGCCCTGGGATCGTTTAAAAATGCTCAATGCCGAAATCCCGATGTGTGTGTGTGTGTGTTGCACATTTTCGTGTCACTTCTGGCATGGTGTTTGTGAATGCCTTGGTGTGCATCTGTAGTGGCGGCCCACCCTTGGGGTGCTGAAGCCAGCGCCTCGCTCGGGACATCCCCGCAATCTGCGGGAGGAACAGAAGAGCGGCAGAAACGTGAGCAGGACGTCGGCGCGGGTTGCTCGGATCGGCGCTCGACGCCCCTCCCTGGCGCGAGGAGCGCGTCAAGGGCGGCGCCAGGGCTGATGCGGCGACTTCTCCTTCAGGGGACCACGCGAGAGTCCTGCCCCTGCACCCCACGATTCCTCAGGGCGCGGGGAACCCCATTCTCCCCCTCAGAAATGAGGTCGGGCCTGTCCCCCCACAAGCGGGTGTTGGACGAAACCCAAAAGATACGCAACGAACGTTCAAAACTAATCAGCAAAATAACAGAAACATCGTCCCCAAACTGTCTGTTTACTATGTTTGAATACTCCTCGTGTAGAGGGGCATGCCCGACGTAAGGGTAGGGGCAGGGCTCGCATGTGGTCCCCTGTTCTTCGAGTATCGGCACCTTCCCCTCCTCCGAGCGGCCTGTCGCCCGACTGCACGTCCAGCGCCCACGTGGCCCCCACCGCGGCGAAGCACAGCGCGGAGAGCACGCTGCACGACAGGTAAGCCGGCGCCTTCGCGCACAGCGGGGCCGCGAAGGTGAGCGACCTCCGCGGGCCGCCGCTCCCCGCAGCCGCCGCCGCCGTTGGTTGAGAGTCTCGGTTCGGAGCCTGGATCGTCTGAGGATTGTGGGTCGAAGATCGCTGGAGGATCCTTCGAGGATCGCTCGGAGATCGATCGCCGTGGCTCGAGCCGCCGATCGCCGCCGTGGCTCGGCGATCGTTCGAAGATCCTGGCTCTGGTGGCGCTTTGTAACGTGACTGCCTCTGCTCAGCGCCTCCGGAGACCTCGGGGGAAGACCTGCGAAGACCTCCTGGGTCCACTCCTCCTCCTCCTCCTTCTCCTCCTCCTCCTCCTCCTCCCCCTCCCTCCTCCTCCTCCTCCTCCTCCTCCTCCTCCTCCTCCTCCTCCTCCTCTCCTCCTCCTCCTCTCCTCCTCCCTCCTCCTCCTCCTCCCTCCTCCTCCTCCTCCTCCTCCTCCTCCTCCTCCTCCGCCTCCTCCTCCTCCTCCTCCTCCTCCTCCTCCTCCTCCTCCTCCTCCTCCTCCTCCTCCTCCCCATCAAGCATTTGCCCCATGTCAAAAAGATGCGCTTTGACCAGAATCTCGAGGCGAATCCGGCCGTGGCCCGTGAGGACCAGCAAGCGCGAACAAAACTCCAAAAACGCAAACCTCAAAATTCAAACCTCGTCTTTGCCGTCGTCGACGACGGCGACGGCAGCGGCGGCGGCGAGAGCGAAGGCCTCGAAGACACGTTGGCCACCCCGAGGGCGGCCGCGCGGCAGCTGGACGGGAAGCAGTCCACGATGAGGAGGAAGACCGTGCCTGGCTCGCCGAGCGGGGCCAGGGAGAAGGCGAGGCGAGTCGCCTACATGCGTCTGGGAGGGACCAGGACAAATCGAGGATCTCCGAGATCTGGCGATTCTGGAGGATGTATTCCAAAACTACTCCAAAATGGTAAAAAAAATTATTTTTAAAATAGTCCACAGACTATGTTTTGACTATTTTTGAATATTCCCCCTGTAGAGGGACACACCCGACTTAATGATAGATGGGGCCCGAGTTGATGGGATCTGAGGATCGCGCCGAAGCGCCGATGCGTCGCTGATGCACCGGCGATGCCTCGGCGATGCATCGGCGACGCAGCGGCGCCAGCGGCGCGGAGAAAGCCGGGGCCCACGTCGAGTCGCATCGGCGACGCCATCGGCGCTGCGGCGCGATCCTCCGACCCCACGTGCTCTGACCCTACACCAGAAGCCACAACAATGCAGAGGCCTCTTCTGGGAGATTGTGAAGCCTCCTCCTCTTCCTTCTTATCGGTCTCCCTCCTCCTCCTCCTACTCCTCCTCCTCCTCCTCCTCCTCCTCCTCCCTCCTCCCTCCTCCCTCCTCCCTCCTCCCTCCTCCCTCCTCCCTCCTCCCTCCTCCTCCTCCTCCCTCCTCCTTCCTCCCTCCTCCCTCCTCCTCCTCCCTCCTCCTCCTCCTCCTCCTCCTCCTCCTCCTCCTCCTCCTCCTCCTCCTCCTCCTCCTCCTCCTCCTCCTCCTTATAGGCCTCCCCGCCTGGGAGGCCTACAAGGACCCAGGCTCGGAACGGCGCGGAGCGGCGCCCTCCTGCCTCCCTGCCGCGCCTGCTCGCGGGAGCGCGCAAAGGTGGCGCCCTCCGGCGCGCTGCCACGGAATACCCAGCACTGGGTACCAAGGGGTCGAGCCAGTTAGAGTTTCGGGGGTCTGCGTTGTACGTGTTATGTCGGGCGCGTCCCCCTACAGGGGGATTTTCGACGAAAACAAAAAAACGCCCCAAAAATACGCCCAAAAGGTCAAACAATACCCCAAAAATAGTCTAGGGACTCTTTCTGATCCCTTTTTTCGAAGAGTTTAGGATATTTTGCATTTTTCTTCGAGAATCCCCCTGAAGGGGGACACGCCCGACTTTATGTTCGTGCTCCCTCGTTCTGGCTTCGCTCCGCCCTCGCTGCAGAACGAAGCCAAAGCGAAAACGGTCCACGAGATCGCCCGAACACACAGATTGACTCGAGCCCTGCTAGGTACCCGCCTCGGTGGCGCTGAGCAGGAGGGGGGTGACCGATCAGCCAGACCTGGGGGGTTCTGCGGTCCCAATCCCAGGGGCTGGCCCGTTGCATCTCCGATCTCGAGAGAGCGGTATCGAAGCAGATGGGCCCCTTCGGGGGGCAAAGACCACAGCTCCCTCAGTTGCGGCTGGACTGGGAAAGACGGGGAGCATGAGGAAGAACTAATCACAGAATGAACATGAAATTTTGGAGGTCCGCGCGGATGTCTTGGATCCGCGCTGGGTCCCCCTCCCTGGCGCGCGGAACGCGCCAGGGGCGGCGCCAGAGGCGCCGCTGGGGGGGGGGGGGGGGGGGGGGGGGGGCAGCGCAGATCCACGAAGAAATCCGCGCGGAGCGCCACGAGTTTATGTTTACAGCGTTTTTCTTCGGGAGCATGGAGCAGTGCACAAGAGCAAGGCTCGAGTCACCAGACACAAAAGTACCACTACCACCAGCTAGGGGGAGTGGCTGTCCCGCTCTCTCGAGCTGGTGGCACCTCGTTTCAGGCATGCCTCCAGAGAGTTCCCGGAAGGAGGTACCACCAGCTCGAGGGGAGGGAGCGGCTACCCCACTAGCTGGTGGTATTGGTACTTGTGTCTCTCCTGATCGACACTTGTTTCTATTCGTGGGCCCTGGAGGTCTGGACCACATTTCCCCGTGACCGGTTGTTCGTCCTGAGTCGTTTTCTGACGCTCCCGAGGGCGGGCAAGGGGGGCCCCAGGAGGCCGAAAATAGCCAAAACTCTCGCCGCCCAAGCCTGCTTGGAGCGTCGCATCTCTGGATCGCGGCAGGGCCCGGCGCCGACCGACGCCCACGGCGCGCGCTCTTCCCGGGGGGCGGCCGCGCGCTGAAGGCGACGTCGATGTGGAGGCGGCCGACCAGCGCGCAGGCCACGGCCATCCACGAGCCCTGGGCACGGGCGCCCGCCGCAGGAGCGGCCGCTGGCAGGGAGCTGCCTCTGCAGGGGGGGAAAAGGGGCAGGCTCGGCCAGCGTCGGACCGGGAGGAGCCGGCTCGAAGCGGAGGAGGAGGAGGACAGGACAGGACAAGGACAGGACAAGGACAGGACAGGACAGGACAGAAGGAGGACAGGACAAGACAGCACAGGACAAGGACAAGGACAGGACAGGACAAGAACAGGACAGAAGCGAGAGGAGGAGGACAGCACAGGACAGGACATCCGCAGGAGGGGGTCGACGTCAATGCGCCCGCTCGGGCGCAGTGTAGAGCGTATGCGTAATTCCGCTGCGTGAGGGTCATGCAGCAAGGACTCGACAGCCCTTCGACATCTCATCGAGGGAAGGAGAAGGAGGAGGAGGAGGAGGAGGAGGAGGAGGAGGAGGAGGAGGGGAGGGGAGGGGGAGGAGGAGGAGGGGGAGGGGGAGGAGGAGGAGGAGGAGGAGGAGGAGGAGGAGGAGGAGGAGGAGGAGGAGGAGGAGGAGGAGGAGGAGGAGGAAGAGCACCGGATCGGGCCGCACAAGCACGGAGCCGGGATCGCGGGAGGGGCTCGACGTGCATGCACACCAAGTCGCCTGGTCGGCCAGGGGGCACGGTGCATAGACGCCCCAGCCTCCCATCTGGTAGGAAGCTGGAGCGTTGTGGATGCCATGACAATGGACACCCTAACAATCCTGTCATTGCTTTTTCAATTTGTTCAAAGGAAGGAAACTCATATGTCAATGGTGCCAACATGTTTTAAAATTCAATATATATATATATATATATATGTTTAAGACATGTTAAACAATTGTGCTAAACATCTGGAAATTATTTGGCAACGCGCGTCCTCTCCATTGATCGTCCTCCACAATTGGAGCGCCTATGCACCGAGGTCTCTCGGCGGCTCCTCGGCAGACCAAACGACGTGATGTACTCGTCCAGCCCATTCGAGATCGGATCTGGTCGGCTGCGCCAGGGCGCACAGCGACGCCATGCGAGCATCGGGCAACCTCGGATCATCGTCGGGATGCAGTGGGGGCCCATGCCAAGAAACACCCTGCTTGTCTCCAGGGTGTCCTGTGTTTCTTCGGTTTTGATGGTTTTGCTGTGGAAGGCGTGACGTTCCCACACCAAAAACCGATGGACGCCTGGGGTCGAAAGGTTGGGTTTCTCGTGGGAAATTTCTTGTGGACTGGCCTCCACTTTGCCGGAATCGAGTCGGATCGGGCCGGCCAGCGCAGAGATCGAATCGGATCGACTGGATCGCCATGGCCCTGAGACCTCCCGGGGGACCGCGGATCGAACAGAAATCAGCCTGTCGGCGACGGCGGCCGGCGATCCCTGACGGCTGCCATGCACGAGCCCTTCGCGGGGGCCTGTGGGCCTCCTCTGGGGAGGGAGGCCCCCGTCGAAACAGGTCGGTCGGAACGCGCTCCAGGAGAGGTCTGGGGAGTCGCTGCTGAGGGTGGGGCGAGAGCAAGCAGTGCAATCGACTACAGTAGGAACTCGACCGCAGGAAACCTTCCACAAAAAACAAAAACCCAACCCTGAGACGCCAGGACGTCTATCGATGTTTTGTGTGGTAGCGTCACGCTTTCCACGGCAACACCATCGAAGCCCATGAAATCCACGGCACCCTGGAGGCAAGCAGGGTGTTTCTTGGCATGGGCCTCCACTGTATTCCTCGTCCTCTTCAACAAGGCCGTCCCAAGGGGCGGCGTGCGTCCTGCCTGCCTGGAGCAGCGAAGGGCAGCACAACTCGGAGACATCACTGGCGCGGGGCAGAACAACCAGGGACCAGGCCGAAAAGGGGGGGCAAACTCGCCGCGCCTGCTGGACGGCACTCAAGCCGGGCTGCTGGGTGCACCTCTCCGCGGGCCCATCGAGCCCGACGACGGCGACGACGACGGGGACGGGGACGAAGACGAGGACGATGACGACGACAACGACAACGACAAAGACTACGGCGACGGCGACGACGAACACGACGACAGGTCGACGGAGACGGCGGCGGCGTCGACGACATCGACAAGAAAGAACCACACATGGGAACTCTACCCATGCAGGCCAGATTTCTGAAACACCAAAGCGGCTCACAACTCGAAAGATGCCTGCATCTGAATGGACCTCTACAAGGGGCATCCTGTACACGGACCGTCGCTTGAACCCCCAGAGGTAGGGTTCGCAAGTACAGTAGGAGCTCGACCAAAAGAAACCTTCCATTAGAAGCCCAACCTTGAGACCCTAGGACGTCCATTGATTCTGGTGTGGGAAAGTCAGGCTTTCCATAGCAACACCATCGAAACCCAAGAAACCGAGGGCACCCTGGAGGGAACTAGGATGCTTCTTGGCATGATTTTCCCACCGTAGTCGCAGAAACGATTCGTCGTCCCACCGAAATCCGCTCAGAACTGGTCCCCAAACCCATCCTGGGGTCAACCCTGGGCAGCTGCCCACCGTCCATCCCCAGATCGACCTCTGACGGCCCAGCTCCACGGGCCGAGAATGTCCAAATCCCCTGGGACGGCGGCGGCGGGGGCGGCGGCGGGGGCGACGACGACGACGACGACGACGACGACGACGACGACGACGACGACGACGACGACGGCCACTCGGAAGCCGGAGGCGCCCGTCCTGCGGCAGCATCGCGCACAGGAGCAGCGACAAAGCCGTCCCGGAGAAGCCGGCAATCTGCGCGCGGGGGCGACGGCGACGGCGACGGGAACGCCGCCGACGGACGACGACGACGACGACGACGACAACGACGACGACGACAAAGATGACGATGACAACGATGATGACGACGATGACGACGACGACGATTGCGACGATGGCGATTACGACGACGATGACGACGACGGCGATAACGATAAATGAAACGATAACGACGACGATGACGATGACGATGACGATAACAACGACGACGAAGACAATGACGACGACGGTGACGACGGTGACGATGACAACGATGAAGACGATGACAGCGACGGAATCGCACACGGAACCCTAGGCTGTGAGCAGCCCATGGGCAAGTCAAATCAGCACTTGTGTGATGGTCAGCCAACAGACAGATGCCGCAGGCATCTGCACTTCTGGCAGCGCGCGCCCAAGCGAACATCGTACTCCAGAAACTTGCCAAACTTGCCAACGCGCCGCAGGCTTTACGGGTGAGGGGGCGATATTGGGGAGAATGGCGGGGGGGAGGGGGAACGGGGGAGGGCAGGGGGAGGGGGAGGGGAAGGGAAGGGAAACAAATACAAACGATAAGACAAAAAGCTCGGAACACCACTCCGAGAACTGGCCGCTTACGATTTGCGGCGCGCCCCGCTGCTGCTTTCGCATTGAACGAACTGCTGGCTGGTCGGATGGCTCGCCTCGGGGATGACGCCTCTGACCCAGTCCGCCCGTGGACCACCGACCCTCCGCATGCGCGAGCCTCTCGCTGACCTGAAGGACCTGGAAACAAGGGCGACGTCGCGACTGCACACGTATGTCTGGGCGCCGCACAACGAGAAGGCTTCAAACTATAAACACCCCGACGAGCGAGGCACTCTAGAAAAAGCACCGAGGACTGAGGAAGCGCCAGCTATGGTGGTCGGGGAAGCTCTTCCTCCCTTTAGCAAAGTCTCCCCAGGTGGTGTCAACTGCTTCCTGCGAAGATCAATTAAGGCTACTCTCACATCCTGCATCCTGCGGCACAAGCACGCTGGATACACGAGGGAGAACAAATTCGATAACGCGCAAAACAATTCGCAAACACCTCGCTTGGAAGTCGTCGAGTCTCAGTGAACCTGCTTGTGTGAAACATCCAGCCGCAAGGCTGTACTTGAGCGTTGGCATGATGATGAGTGGGATGGATACGCGTAGTCGCCACGATAGTGGCATCGACGAACATCACGCGCCGCCAAGCCGATGCGTCTACTCACTTCAGTTTTCATGCAGCACCGGGAGGTCACAGAGGCGTTAGCTTCTATTCAGAGAAGAGGGATAACGGCTTCGCAAGCACAGTCGTCGAGGGCACCAAAGCGTCGCTGGACGAGGTGCCGCCGAGCATCCAGATGTCCGTCGTGCAGATGGCGCAGGTCCTCGGCTCCTCCGGCGCAGACGAGCAAGTTGCACGCGATCTGCACAGAGCAGCAGGACGCGTGATAGAGGCGGCGGTGCAGGCGCAGGCGGGGCGCCAGGTTGAGCTGGAGAAACAGAAGGCAGCGGCGGCAGCAGCAGCCAGTGGCGCAGGCGGCAACGGGGTCGCGCAGCCAGCGCCGCCGCCGCCACAGCAGCCCCCCAACTTGGGCAGCAAGGTGGCGGGCAGTCGGCAGGTTTGGTACTGCCCGTCCCTGCAGGAGAAGGTGCTGACCAGCCTGAGGTCCTCCCTGTTTCCTCACTATGGGCGTCGCGGTGCCCGAGGGAGAGTCCAAGCTGCGCGAGGCGGCCAGGCGGTGCTGCGACGGCCTGCAGAGCCTCGCCAAGCACCACCACGCGTGACCATCTGAGGGCAAGTTGCTGGTGGTGTCGTGAGTAAGTGATCAGAGTCTTTGTCACGATGATGATAATGCTGAGGATGATGATGACAATGATGATGCTGCTGATGATGATGATGATGATGACAATGATGATGCTGGTGGTGATGATGATGATGATGATGATGATGATGATGATGATGATGAAGATAATGGTGGTGATGCTGATGACGACGATGATGCTGATGATACTGATGATGGTGATGGTGATGGTGATGATGATGATGATGATGATGATTACCATGATGCTGATTGTGCTGAAGATGATGATGATGGTGGTGATGGCAGTGATGATGATGATGGTTGTGGTGATGGTGACGATGGTGATGATGACGACGATGATGATGATGCTGATGATGATAATGGTGCTGATGATGCTGCTGATGGTGATGGTGATGGTGATGGTGATGATGATGATGATAATGGTGATGATGGCGATGTTGATGAGGGCGGTGATGGTGATGGTGAAGATGATGATGACGATGATGATGCTGCTGCTGATGATGACGACAATCACCAGAGAGCAGAATACGGAGGCCGCGGCTCGCCAAGAGCGCAATTCCTGGGCATCACGTCACCAACGTTTTGCCAGGCGTTGAATCTTAAGTCCCAGGCGCAACAGCTTCGGCGCAGTGCCCTGGACTCAACGGCGCAACAGAACGAGGATGATGGGCCGGCGACCTAGGCGTCTGAGGACGTCACCTGCGCGGTGGCGGCAGGTGCAGAGGACTACCACGCGGTCAGAGCGCCTCCCCGCGGGGGCCGGAGTCGGCCGTGCGAGTCTGGCTCCCTCAGGAAGGCTACGACGTGCCAAAGGGCGCACAGTCGGCCAGGACCCGATGGAGAGGCATCGGGGGACATGGGTTCGGCTCGCACGGCTCGCAGTCGCGAAGGGTTCTGCAACCTCGGGGGACATGGAGTCGGCTCGCACTGTCCGCCCCCCCCCCTCTGATGGAATCTCGGGGCCCCAGCCAGGCGATGGAGGTGGTGCTGCTTTAGTTGCTGGAGGTGTGGGGCCAGAAGGCCTGGCGGGGTCTCCGCCAGCGGCCGACGTGCCCCCCAGGTCAAGGGATACGCCACCAACACAAACGTTTCCTCCTACCACAAACTGGTGGCGCTGCTGACGAGCGAGGCGTTCGGCAGCAATGTGGTTCTGGTCCAAGAGCACCACGCGGACACCGGGAGGATGGAGGCCTTGCAGCAGAGCGAGTATCTACCAAAACAATGTTCTACGTTTTCGTTTTGTCTTCGTTTTCCATCGTTTTGTCTTCAATCCGCTTTGGCTGCCAAACACAATCAACACGAAAACGGCCCACGAAATCGCCAAACCACCGTTCAGGTCGACCCCTGCAGCAGAGGGTCCGCAGCCTGGGCTACCACGGTGTCTGGCATGAGGCGGCGCAGTCTGTTGGTGTAGGTACTGTTGTTAGCGGCGGCGCAGTCTGTTGGCGTTGGTGGTGACTGCGCAAATATTTCCAATATTGGTGCTCCGGTCACGATGCCCCTTTGTCATGAGTCGGGCTGCTTGGTTCCTGGAATGGTGTCGACAGGCCGCGTGCACTTGGGCCAAGCTCGCGGAGTAGTGGCTGTCCCAGTGCATCCACATGACTCAGTCGGGCTGGACGTCCCCAGCTTAGCGATCATATCTTGCGCGCGGTTGGTCGTCATGTTCTTGACGTGGCCAGTAAAGGCCATGCGTGGCAGGTGGGCGGCGGCTTCAACGTGCCCCCCCGAGAAGCTCGAGCCGCGGTTCAACTCCGTGGGGACAGTGCTGCCAGGTTCCAAGCTCGACCGCCTCGGTGTGGACGCGAGGCTCTCGTGCAGGACCCGGACGCCCGAGGTGCTCGAGAGCGCGGGCACGCAACCCGCACAAGGACCTGCCAGGCTGCCTCTGATCGGGCGTGACCGACCGCTGTGTTGTCAAGGGGGCTGGGATGCCGAAGGCGCTCCACGCGGCGGCGCCGCCTGGGTGCCCCAGGCTTCCTGTTCAGCAGCGGGGTGAGGTGCAAAATGCCGTTGCACGCTCGGCGACACAGGTTGGCCTCTGTCGACGCTGGGACGCTGTGCTTCAGGGTATTGAGCAGGGGCTTTTTGTGGGCGACTCGGCACCGTGGGTGACGTTTGCCGTGCTCAGATGGGGCGCGCTGGACCTCGTCGCCGGCGGAGGAGGAGGAGGAGGCAGGAGGAGGAGGAGGAGGCAGGAGGAGGATGAGGAAGGAGGATGAGGAGGAGGAGAAGGAGGAGGAGGAGGAGGAGGAGGAGGACAAGGACACTCCGCGCAACCACACGCCTGTGCGAGGCACGACCGCGGATGCGCGGGCGGTGGCGCCGAGCTGGGCTGGGCATCTACGCAGGGTCGGTAAGTGCCTCACCAACCGGCTAGCCCAGATCATACCCAACAAGAAGGCCGCTCCTCCTCCTCCTCCTCCTCCTCCTCCTCTTCTCCTCTCCTCTCCTCTCTCTCCTCTCCTCCCCTCCACTCTCCTCTCCTCTCCCTCTCCTCTCTCCTCTCTCCTCTCCTCTCCTCTCCTCTCCTCTCCTCTCCTCTCCTCTCCTCTCTCTCCTCTCCTCTCCTCCTCCTCCTCCTCCTCCTCCTCCTCCTCCTCCTCCTCCTCCTCCTCTCCTCCTCCTCCTCCTCCTCCTCCTCCTCCTCCTCCTCCTCCTCCTCCTCCTCCTCCTCCTCTCTCCTCCTCCTCCCCTCCTCCTCCTCCTCCTCCTCCTCTCCTCCTCCTCCTCCTCCTCCTCCTCCTCCTCCTCCTCCTCCTCCTCCTCCTCCTCCTCCTCCTCCTCCTCCTCCTCCTCCTCCTCCTCCTCCTCCTCCTCCTCCTCCTCCTCCTCCTCCTCCTCCTCCTCCTCCTCCTCCTCCTCCTCCTCCTCCTCCTCCTCCTCCTCCCTCCCCGGCATGCGGCATGCAGGTGGCTTCAGATACTTCCATGTTGCTGCACGATGCCGAGGCGTTATTTGGTCGCCTCCTGAAGCAGCACAAGGTATTCGCAGCTGATGACCCGTGTATGAAATCATGGTTCGCCGAACGCATGCTGGTTCTTTCTGGATGATGGGTTTCGCGACATGATGGATTGGATTATTCACCACGGAGAAAACATGTAGACCTCTTCTGCGATGCTGCAATTGCCAGGCTGAAATTGCCAGGTTCGCAACATCGAGGCTGCA